CCTCCCCCAGGCCTGGCTCCAGGGTGGGGCCCCGGTGACCCTAGTCCGTTTGAAGGAAACGGGACTTTGATTTTGTACTTTTTCATGAGGTTCTTTTGGATTGCTCTTTGTCTGGCCCCTCCCCTGGGACCTTTTTGCCTTGGGAGACCCTACCAGGGGCTATTGCCCCCGACAACATAGCCCCCAGGTTCACGGAGGCACGCAAACCCCTCCACCACGATAAGGTGGCAATCCAAGGAGGAGGTAATTAAATTCTGTGTATGATTTTATTATGTTGCTAATTATTTTATTAACATCAGTCAATAGATCTTGGTTTATGTGTTTTTGTGTTGGTATATTTATACAGTAAGACAGATTGGTTTTGTATTTAACTAGACCAGAGTTTACATAGCTACTGCTACAAAGAAAGTAATCTGGGGAGCTGAGTGTTTGATAGAAGGTTATATCAACTGTGGTTGGCGGTGGTGAAAAATGTCGACTGGGAGGGTGGGGGTGTGTCGACAATAAAACTTTTTTTTAAAAGCTTGTGGTTCCGTTTGGTGTGAACTGTCAGCAAGCAACTTAGCTGATGAATGATGTGATGAAATTGACATGCACTAGGACAGGTGTAGCTAAAGTTGCAGAGTGTGGGGGCGGAGGGGCTTTGGTACAGGTCAGGCTTGTCTAAAGCAGTGTTCAATACTTTTGGGGTAGATTTCTGTAAAACAATAGATGTTTGCATTGAACTGACATGGTGCAATGCATCTTTTAACTAACATCTGAAATACCACATTTCCCAAAATTGTCATACTTCCTTTGATCCTCAGCAACTAAATGGTTCCAGTTAAAGGGAGCTTTTGGGAGACAGACACTGGGTGTGAACCTCAATAGTCCCAGATGTATCTGACTTTCACAGCCGAAGCCTGCAAACTTTGTAATACTATGCCTAAATATGACATGACCCGGTTACTCAAGATAATCCACAGACTTTGTAGTGAGCAGTTTAATGTAGGAACTGTTTTCTTCTACCGAATTCCACACACCAATCGGATCACTGCACAGAAGATACAAGTATGAGCACTCCAGCGATATTATGATTATTATTATTGTTCTTGTTATTATTTAGTATTATTAATATTATGTACTGTATTATTATTTTTCTGACATACCTACAAATTTGATTTGGACAGACAAAAGGAATGGATCTCGTACACAATCCGGGGACTGCCTGTACGTTGGATTTACCCTACAATCATGCCACACTCATGAACAGAGAAATACATTAAAAGTTCTCTTACAACTATATTTTCAATGCTCTTGGTATTATGCATGTTTGTACTGCAGGATCATTGAATATTTTCCAATTAATCACCTCCATCGATGACTCTAATGACATCATGAACTAAGCTTCTAGCTGCAGCTGGAGAGCTGTTGTTCGAAGTGTTTGCGAATGTTCGGTTGAAGTATGGTTTTGGGAAACACCTGTGTCACTTAACGGTGGTTCGTACCATGTAACATACCGATGTAGTTAGTGACTAAGCTTTCGGGAAACCAACCCTTGCTTGGGTGAGGGAGCAAAAACGTGAACCTCAAGGACCAGGCAGGGAAACGCGGCTCTAGACCATTAAACACTCTTGTCTCACTCCATGGACGTCACGGTCCTGTTTCCGCGGGTAACAGATCAGCAGCGGGAGCGGCTCTTCACCCTGAAGCTGGAGCGGTTCTTCACCCTTAAGCTGGAGCGGCTCTTCACCCTGAAGCTGGAGCAGCTCTTCACCCTGAAGCTGGAGCGGCTCTTCACCCTGAATCTGGAGCGGTTCTTCACCCTGAAGCTGGAGCGGTTCTTCACCCTGAAGCTGGAGCGGTTCTTCTCCCTGAAGCTGACGCTGCCTCAGGAGGTCGCAAAGATGTTTGGGGTGTAAAAGAAAGACAAGCCTCTCCATTAAATTAACTGGACAGTGTGATTTCTGAGCATCACCAAGGAGGGTAAACTCAGGATGCTAAAAATCAGTGTAACAAATATGCCTACAATTTTAAAAAAGGAAAAAAAAAAAACAAAAAACAGCAGGCATGGAGCAGCTTCACTGCTAGGACCACTAAATGTGTTTGTGTACGACCCCTAAGTGTGTTTGTGTACGACCCCTAAGTGTGTTTGTGTCAGACCCCTAAGTGTGTTTGTGTCAGACCCCTAAGTGTGTTTGTGTCGGACCCCTAAGTGTGTTTGTGTAGGACCCCTAAGTGTGTTTGTGTCGGACCCCTAAATGTTTGTGTCGGACACCTAAGTGTGTTTGTGTAGGACCCCTAAGTGCGTTTGTGTACGACCCCTAAATGTGTTTGTGTAGGCACCATTCATTAAGCATTACTAGAATATGTGAAATGTATTGATTCATAGGTAATTAAATTTTAAATGCAAGTTTTTGGGGATTGAAGAAACAAGGTTTAGGAATGAATCAGTATGTTTTCCTGTCTGTAAATTTTTGAAAAAGCCAAGTCTATGGTGAACAATCCCAGATAGTTATTATAGACATTGTTACTGGTATAGCATCAATATTTACTGCAAACCGGAGGAGGTTAATGTGGTGGCGCACTTCATCCTTTTTGACAGCAGGTGGCGTAGTGGTTAATAAGCTGTCTCTAACCAGGAGCTTCGCAAGGTGCTTAGCCGGATCGGAGGCACTAAAAGCTCCCAGCTATGGAAATGGGTCAAGAGTATTCTGTGTAAATCGCTCTCGATGAAACCTAGCAAAGAGGCTTTTTGTGGACTAGCTAATCCTGACCTTGGTTAACTGTTATATCACTGTTATAAATAACCAGTAGAAATTGGTGTGTTTTAAGTGCATAACCCAGATAATGGCAGGAAGCCAGGAACTGGTGTCTGTGTCTACACATGTGGCCTTTCTGGGTTCTGGGTCCACTCTGTGAGAAAGTCACATTTCTGGGTTTTCCTTATGGACACATTGTTTGATAGCACACATCAGCCTATCACATCACAGAAACAAAGACAATTTTGACCAATCATATGGTAGTCTTTTAGAAATGGACAGTGTGTGCCCCACAAATGCACTGCAAGGTTGCTTGAGTTAGCGGAGCCACATGTTGGTAATATCATGGAAGAGAGAAGCGCTCCCTCACAGGAAACTTCAGGTGTCGGTGATGAAAGCAACAGCTCAGGAGCCAGAACATCTTTTAGAAAAAGATATTATGGATAAACAAGGTAAAATGATGGTGGTGGTGTGGCTGTACTTTTTGCAGTTTAAAGTGTGACACACAACAGACTGTTTTCTGCAAACTCTGCCGAAAACATGTGCCAGCAAAAACAAATATTCCTAACTTACGTCACTAATGGAAGCATTTTCATCCACTAGAACATACAGAATGTAAGTGCTTACAGACACTGAGTCAAGTAATTAGGGTTTCTACTTTCATTCTTACGAAATACGGGACAAATTGTGTCCCAAACTGGTTATTTTTCGTTATATTTTTCACTGTGTATTGGGTGACATACCAGTTATGTCAAACCCGTTCCCTCTAACAAACAGTGAGACGAGAAAAAAACACCCCAGCAAAAAACCATATGTTGGCATTTTGTAGTGTTACACCCTACAATAAAAAGGTTTTTTATTATGATTTATTAAAATTAGATTTCAGTTTGCAGGCCATTCTGTTTGTTCCACTTCTGAATCTATTTAAGAGCAATTCGAATGGAATTTTAAGCAAAAAATTGAAGCAAAGAAATAATGACTTGGATTACATTAAATTATTAGTATTGACTGATATGAAATATTTTGCCATAGACCTATTAGCCCTTCCTGTAGTCAAGTTTTCAACAGCATAAAGACGAGCTGCAAGCAGAGAGTATTACATTACCTTAATTTTGATGTACAAGTGAGGACTTTACTAGCATGCAGCTGTGTAGGAGTCAGCGAGGCCTAAGTGCAGCTGAGGCGTGTTGGTGTGTGATTGGACGGGTGCAGCTGAGGCGTGTTGGTGTGTGATTGGATGGGCCGCCCCTACAGAGAGAACCGCAGCGCTTAGAGGAATGAAGGATCTGTCAACTGCCACACTACTTGCAGTGAGTCTGGCTTTCGCTGTTCCTCTCCTGTGCCCTGTTCACCGTTGACACTGTTGGGTGCCCGTCAATATTTTTAAAATACGTATTTACATGGCGCTATTTTGTAAAAAAAAAAAAAAATTTTAAATGTAATAATAATAAAGCAAAGAATTCCCAGGAGAGGTGCACATGTTTTATGTTATATTACTTGGCATTCTGTGTGTTTTTAATTGCTCTGGTTATTTACTTCATTACTGTTCTGTCTGTCTGTGGTCGCTGTGTTGTTTATACGCGTGCGATACGGCTGGATGGAGCCCTCTCAGTCTGTCCATCCGTCTGTCGGCCCACACTGCAGGTTTTCCTCAGTCCGCCTGTCTGTACCACCCCTGCTGGTTGTGTGGTTAAGTCTCTCCGCTTACGTTTTCGTCTGCTGCGCCTCTTTGAGGATTTACAGCTTGCGGGTGCCACATCCTCGCTACGCCTCCACTGTGGTGTGGCTCCTGCTGGGCCTTTGATTGGTTTTATGGTTATTTTCTTTACTCACTGTTTCTCTAAATGTTATTAATCAACATTAAGCAAAGCTTTTCCCCTGACCCATCAGAACAACATGTTTTCGTGATGTCCGGCTCTCGAGATCGACCCGGGAATGGCCCCCAGTGCCGGTGACCCATGTCCCTCTCCACTCTCAGTACATTAAGGCGTTCTACAACGAGACGTGGATCCAGCGCTATGGCAAGCCTGCTGGGCCAGAGGTGCTCACCCTGCTGTGGTCCGTCACCGTCTCCATCTTCGCCATCGGGGGGCTCGTAGGGGCGCTGGGGGCCTCTTTCCTCATGAAGATCCTTGGAAGGTAGGTCAGATTCCCAGGAAGCATGTCCTCCCTACTCATTCTCTCCAGGACCTTTCTCTTGTCGATTTCTTTCCTTTCTTTTTTTTTTATAAATGACAAGGTGATAATAGATTATTGGAAGGAAAAGAAAAAGAATTAAAAGAAACCACTTAAAACTGCAATGACAAAACCAATATGGGTAATTAAGCAATATTTATGTGTTCGAGTCTCTGCCAGGGTTCTGCGTGTGGAGTTTGTATGTCCTCCTCATGTTCCGCTTCTATGGTTTGTATGTGCTCCCCATGTTCCGTGTGTGTAGTTTGTATGTCCTCCCCATGTTCTGCGTGTGTAGTTTGTATGTCCTCCCCATGTTCCACGTGTGTAGTTTGTATGTCCTCCCCATGTTCCGCGTGTGGAGTTTGTATGTCCTCCCCATGTTCCGCGTGTGGAGTTTGTATGTCCTCCCCATGTTGTCGTCGGTTTCCTCCGGGTGCTCCCCCCCACAGTCCAAAAATATGCTGAGGCTGATTGGAGTTACCAAATTACCCATAGGCATGCATGTGTTAGTGAATAGTGTGTGAATGGCCCTGCAATGATTGGGGTGTTTCCTGCATTGTGTCCATAGCCTTCAGACCCCCCATGACCCAGGATAGGTCAAGCAGCTGCAGAAGATGGATGGATGGATGGAAATGTGTAGAGGATGCATGCAAACTATGCGTAACTAAGAAGAACAGGCCTGACTTTGTGTGTGTGTGTGTGTGTGTGTGTATGTGAGACTACATGTTGGTGTAGGTATTAAAGGTAGC